GAAGAAGAAGAAGATGAAGAAGCATGGTAAGGACACACAGGACAAGGAGAAGGCCAAGAAGAGGAAGACCAGGGACGATGAAAGTTCGGGCGAGACAGACCCGAAGAAGAAGAAGAAGCAGCATAAGAAGAGCAAGAAGGAGCGCGACGATGACTCGGACGGCCCCCCGAAGCAGAAGGACAAGAAGGATGGTGATGTGGACGCTCAAAAGAAGAAGGCCACACACGACAAGTTGAAGAGCAAGAAAGCCGACAAGACGTATAAACATCAGAAAGAAAAACACAACGAGAAGTCTGACGAGGAGCAGCCCACGCCGACGCAGAAGGTTAAGAAGTTGACAGTGGCGGCCAAAGCGAAGGCGAAAGCCAAGGCAAAGGCGGCGGCAGCGGCAATCAAAGCGAAGGCGGCCGAGGAGGCGACGACGGCGGAGTTCAAGAAGAAGCAAAAGGAGAAGGAAGGCACGGGGCTGAATACTAGATTCGCTCACTCCACCCTTTCGTATCGCCGACCTCGGGCCTGCGACGCCCCCCAGCTCCCCCACCCCCCGTCGCCCCGTCGGCCAGCGCTCCGCCGCCCTCTCACTGCAAGGGGGCAGGTAAGCTGATTAGGAGGATTGACAACGCCTGTTCAGAGCACGGGGAACCATCGGATGCTGACAGCCAGGAGGTCGGTATATGCTCGGATGGGGGAGCAGTGAGCGGGGGCTGGGGGCGGTCAGGGATACGACTATGGGGAGGGGCCGCTGAGGGTGATGAGTATCACGACCAGGGGGCCGATGGGGGCTACGGCGACGATGGTGGCTCTGAGGAGGGCGGCGGGGATGGCAGTCAGATCTGGTTCAGATCTGACTGTCATCTGAAAGGGTATTGGCCGAGGGCTAGGTCGAGGGTGGGACGAGCGACTGGCGTAAACGCATACTGCGCAAAGTGGTGAGGAGGGCGCGGGGGATTGAGCGTCGCCGATCAAGGATCGTTCGACGTCTTCATCGTCAGAGTCTGACTGCACCAGCAGCAGCAGCAGTGGCTGACGGACTTCGAGATGCTGGATGGCTGAGTACGTCGAAGTTTCTAGGCACGTGCGCCTACGACTCGCTGCGAGGCGGGTGCAAGCGGCGTCTGGGGGGCGTCGTTCAACCCGTCGCTCGCCCCCTGGTCCGACTATTTCCGTGTGAAGACCATGAGAACGAGGGCTGCGAGAATAATGCCGATGTGAGCGGGGGCTGTGGCAATAATGGTAATGCAGGGGCGAATGTAAGGGCGAGGTGCGAGTGACGAGTTGAGCGACACCCCCAGGTGACCCCGCCCCACCCCAGCGTCGGGGGAGGAGAGAGACTGTTATGATGAGGACGAGGAGGAGGATGAGGAGGAGGAGGAGGACGGAGGGCACACATCCATCACCATGAAGGGCTGGTGGCAACGAAAGGATGGCGACGAGGAGGGGGATGATGATGGGGAAGGGAGGAGAAAGAGGAGGAGGATGAGGAATAGGAGGAGGAGAAGGACCTGGAGGAGGAGGAGCGGGAGGATGATGAGGAGAGCCAGCAGCCAGCGTTCTTTCACGGTCGGGCGCGGACCGAGCCTAGTGCGTGCGGCGTCACTGTCGGCGCGGTTTTCGTCGCCCGCAATTCGGGCGTGACACCCGCAGTCGTTGGACAGCCAGATGTCGACACTTTCTCGACATAGAGTGGTATCTCAAGGTGCGCGCCGCCCGTGGGAACGGGGTGCCCGAATGTCCCAGCCATCCTCTGCGCTGTCCCAGATCAGCTCTGATGTCCGAGGGCCTTGCGGTCTCGGCCATCGGCGGTCATTCCCATGCAAATGGCCATATGTGTCTCGAGGGCGTTGCATTCGCGGGCCTGGCTTTCGCTGCAAATTGGTTTCGCATTCGCGGCCGTCTCTGGTTTCCGAGGGTCGTGCATCCGCGGCCACCTCTGGTGCCCGAAGGTCTTGCATCATCGCATCGTGCCCCCCTCCCCCATGCGCCGTGCTCCTCTTGCCAGCCCCGCCGCGCCCTATCCTGATGTGAGGCCGAGTGTTGCTAGCGTTGGTCGGCCTTGTGGGCCAGGTGGTGGAGGCGCAATGCTGTCTTGCATGCGGCCATGCGTCCTCTCGGATGTCTCGCCGCAAAGGCCGCAATGGCCCGTCAGAGCAACGCAATTCAACGCAAGTCGATCAGGAACTGTCCAATTCCGTAGCCGTTTTGGCTCGAGGATCGGTCGGTTTCAGCATCGCCCCGAGTTCGGCGCACCCATGGGGAGCGCCCGTTCTGTCACGGGAGCAGCTGGGAAGCGCCGCAGTTTCAAGCAGTTTCGGAGGGGCGGACACGAGTTGCTGATGGCAGACAGCGCCATTGGGGTGGCTCGTATTCGCAGGCATGCGCAGGCTGTGATTCGCGGCCCCGATCCCGAGGCTGACTATCCTAAGCAACTCCGCGATACGCTGCTGGGGTTATTCTTCGCTGGCGAGATGTCCGCAGCGCTACTCCTCAAGCTGCGCGTCTTAATCGCCCGCTCGAAGGGGCTCGGCGTGGAGGACCTGGCGCGCGACATGAGGCACAACAGGAATGCTTCGCCAGCAGTGTACAAGCTCCTCGGCGGCACCGAGGTGGAACGCCAGCTGCTGCGCTACACGGAGATTCCCTGCAACGCGTGCAAGGGCCGCACAGGGTCGCGGACTCTGGTGCCGTCTGTGCCTTTTTATGAAGTTATCTCGCGCTCGTTTGAGCGCGAGGAGGCGGCGCTTCTGAAGCACAGGGTTAAGCCCAACTTACTGTGCACCAATTTCTACAGCCACGACGTTGTCAAGGAGGTCGGGCCTGAGCTCTGCATACCTGGGCGGCTCTTCATGGATTATGCGAAGCTCGATGGCCAGGCGCCCGCGGCAAGTGGGCGTCGCAACCGTCATGTTTAGATCGGCCGTCGGAGAGCGGGCGAAACGGCTGACGAACTACGGCGACGACGACGACAACGAGAACCACAGGTTTCCGACGGTCGGTCTGGGCACGTGGCGTTGCGCGTTCATGCCGCAAGCCCGCTAGGCAACGACGCTCAACAGCAAAGTCGGTTTCGCCGCTGCCCTCCCACCCGAACGCAATCGGACGAATCCCGCCCCCCCCCCCGCTTGGGCGAGAGGCATCCCTAGCGCCACACCCCTTTCCCCGCCCCATTACCCTGTGCTGGGATGTGAATGGTAGGGGGCGGCTGGGGGCGGAGCGGCCCGAACGTCCAACATGGCCCAAGGCAGGCCCCAAGAAGGATAGGATACCCCCAGATGGCCCTTTTAAGATGGGTCATGGCCAAATGCCCTCGAAGCCCTCCAGAAACAACTCCGCAGCTAACGCAACGCATGGTGGCTGCGTTTGTTGTGGTGGCCTTCTCGCAACGTTGTTTCCGATTGCCCTTCAAAGCGCCGGGGTTGCCCCAGTCCTGCCCCAGAACCCAGGGGCGCCCAGGGGGGCCCCAAACCATGGCCCAACAGCTCCCGAGACCGCACCAATAGCGGCGCAAGGCTGCCCAACAACGAGAACATGTGTTTCTTTTTTTCTTGCGTCTGAAAGGAGGGGCTGGGTCGACAAGGCCATTAATCTCGAACCGTGGGGCGCAAGATGGCTCCATGATTCGTGAGTCTGCCCCCCAAGCCCTCCTCCCATCCGCAACTATAGCAGGACGGATCCGTCCAGCTATGGTTGCGGACGCGGGTGCTGGTGGAATTTGCACCCCTGCCGCACGCACGCGCGCGCGCGAATGCTCCGACACGCGCGCGCGCACGCGCGCGCACACACGGACACACGGACGCACACACACACACACGCAACCACACACACACATACACACACGCACACCCACACACACACGCGCGCACGCACGCAGGCACACACACACACACACCTTCACACTTTCACACACACACAAACACACACACACACACACACACACACACACACACACACACACACACACACACGCGCCCCGATCACCATTCCGAACCAGCGGCGCGCCCTGAAGGGGGAGGATGGAAACTGAGGAGGGTGGGGACAGATGCCCAGGAAGAAGGCGGGAATGGTGAGGGAGGGAGGCACAGGGGCGCGATCTGCGCCCGTCACCGCGGAAGGTGCCACGCAACCTGCCAGCGTTGCCCCGCATGTGATTCCTTGAATCCCAGGCTGGTGATTTACACGCTTTCGCTTGCTGCGTCTGGTTTCATTGCGCTGGTGCGCGCCACATGGGCAATCGAGACAGTCGCGCGTAGAAGGATGATGTTGAGCAGGGTATGCTGGTTTGTAGCGCGCGCTGGGATGTGCCACGTGAATTCCCCATGTGCGCCAGAGTTGTGCAAGTGGCGGTGCAAAAAGTGTGGACCCAAGATTCAAAGCAATACCACACACGCATGCAATATACTTGAATAGGCGCATGTAGGTTCGATACAATTACCTCTGGTTGACGGGAGATGCGCACGACGCGCCGAGCAGCGCGAGGTTGTTTCGAACCACATGTGCGCCGCGCCTGCCGCGTGCGGATACTGAACAATGAACGCACGTGGTTGCGGTTTTCCAACATGCAACATGTTCAATATGGTTTTCGGCGCATATGCACTGGTTTAAACTGATGACGTTTGTATGTATGTGTGTTGTGTCGGGGTTTCCCAAGTACGGTCAAGTTGTTGGGTGATCGCGGTTCGCAACACGAGTTGTTCCAAGTTGCAGAATGTTTATCAAACGCAAGTGGTGCTTGCAGCAGCCAGTGTAGGTTGTTAGCTGTTACTGAATCGCAACGCGCATTTAACGCCCCCCAATCGCACGTGCAGCAAACAGCGCAAGTTGTTGGCTATATTAAATCACAACGCGCATTTTTTCAAAGCGTTGCATGGTTCGCAATCGCACTTGGGGTTTGCAGCACACAGCGCAAGTTTCGCATGCTTTGCCTGTTCGGCAGGCGCCAGCATACATCCACAGCTTTCGGCTGGCATCCAGACATCAGCAGGCATCCACATACATCGACTGACATGGGCAGACACGCGCACACACCCGCGGACATCGACGTCGAGCCCCGCGCGGCCCCCTGCAGCTTCGGCTGCGCAGCTGCCCTGCGGCGCTACCTCTTGCGAGGTGGCGCGCCGTCGCAATTGGTGGTGGAACTGCGTATTTGCACGCGCGCACGCGCGTGTGCAAGACCCATTGGAAGGCAAACCAGCCCGCGCCGCGCAAGCAAGGGCGCGCGCCCGCCGCGATGGGCGGCGGGTGCGCTGCGCCCGATTGCGCGGGCCAGCCCAGGGCCGCCGCTGGCGTCTCAAGCAGCGCGAGCGGGCAGGCGGGGCGGCTGGCGACCTGTCGGGCGCAGCGGGCGACGCATTCGCGATTGCCGACAAGCCCCCGAACGAGAGGGAGGCGCGCGCGCGCGCCCTTCATGAAGATTGCCAACGCGGCGCGGAAGCCATCGCTGCGGATATTCGCGGGCCGAAGGTACGCTGGATGCGCGGGGGGGGCGCGCGGCCGATCGCCGAGGCGCGCGCGCCCCGAGGAAGCGGCCGTCGCGGACTGCGGCATGCAGCAGGGCGCGTCGGCGCGCGACGCGAGTGTGGCGCACTCGCGCTGTTGCCCACCCATCCTACGGCGTTGGGTCGCCGCTGTGCAGGGACAGAGCGCCCCGCGTCCTCTCCCTTCCCTCCCCCGCCCCGAACAGCACGCCGCGTTGGCGCGCCCCCCCCGCCCGCCCCGCTGCCCTGCGCGGGGGGAAGGGCGAGGGGGGGCGAGGCGGGGGCGGGGCGGGGCGGGGGTGGGTGAGGGGGGTGGGGGGGGGGTGGGGGGGGGGGGGGGGGGGGAGGGGGGGAAGGGGGGGGGAGGGGGGTGCGGGGGCGGTATGTGAGGGGGGGGGGGGGGGTGGAGGGGGATGGGGGTGGTCGTTGGGGCACCGCGTGCCAGCGTCCGCGCGGGTCCGCCGCGCCCAGCTTGGCGCGCCCCTCGCGCGCCCCGTGGACCGACAGGGAGCCCCCGCAGCAGACCCAAATGACAGCGCTCGCACGCGCCCGCCGCATTTGTTTTTGGCACGTCACTCGCACGCTTCGGGGCCCCATTGCGGGGCGCGGGGGGAAGGGGGGGGAGGGGGGGGGGGAGGCGTTGTGTGATGTGTGTGATGTGTGTGTTGGTGTGTGTGTGTGTTGGTGTGTGTGTTGTTGTGTGTGTGTGTGTGTGTGTGTGTGTGTGTGTGTGTGTGTGTGTGTGTGTGTGTGTGTGTGTGTGTGTGTGTGTGTGTGTGTGTGTGTGTGTGTGTGTGTGTGTGTGTGTGTGTGTGTGTGTGTGTGTGTGTGTGTGTGTGTGCGTGTGTGTGTGAGTGTGTGTGTGTGTGTGTGCGTGTGTGTGTGTGTGGGTGCGTGTGTGTGTGTGTGGGGGGGGGGGGGGGGGGGGGGGGGGGGCAGCGCTTGCGTGCGCCGCGGCGACCAGGTTGTTGGCGCGCCCCTCGCACGCTTCGCGGCCCCATAGGGGGCGCCGCCGAAGGCGCGACTGCCAGCGTTCGCATGCGCATGTGCCCGCCGCACCCAGTTGACACGCCCTTCGCGCGCTTCGTTGCCCCACAGGGGGCCCCAACCGAAGTCCCACATGCAAATGTTCGCACGCGCTTGCCGCGCCCACGTTGGCGCGCCCACCCGCGCGCTTCGCCGCGCCATAAGGGGTGGGGGGAGGGGGGGGCGGGGGGGGGGGCGCCGAAGGCCCAAATGCCAGCGCCCGCGCGCGCCCGACGCGCCCATTTTGGCGCGCCACTCGCGCGTTTCGCGGCACCGCGGGGCGCCTCGACGAAGGCCCAAATGCATATGTCAGCATGCGCCCGCCCCAGTCATTTCGGCGCGCCCCTCGCGCGCTTCGGAGCCCCACGGTGGGGCCTTACCGAACGCGCAAATGCCAGCGCTCGGAGGCGCCCACCGCGCGCAGTTTGGCACGCCACACGCACGCTCCGCGGCCCATCGGGGGCCCCACCGACGGCCCAAACGTCAACGTTCGCACGTGCCCATCGCGCACATTGCGGCGCGCCCCCCCACGCGCTTCGGCGCCCCATGCGGGGCGCCGCCGAAGACCTAAATGCCAGCGCTCGCACGCGCCCACCGCGCCCATGCTGGCGCGCCCCATCGCACGCTTCGCGGCTCCACAGGGTGCGCCACCGAGTGCCCGCATGACAGCGCTTTTTCGGGTGGTGGGGGGGGTGGTGGGGTAGGGGGGGGGGGGGGGTGGGTGGGGCGGGTGGGGTGGGGGGGAGAGAGGGTTTTTTGTCTGGGGGGAGGGTCATATTTTTTTTTTTTGGTTTGTTTGGTCCTTAGTTTTTTGTTTTGTTTTTTCTTTTATTTTTATTCCTTTTTTTTTTCTTTTTTCGCTTTTTTTTTTTTTTTTTTTTTCTTTTTTTTTTTTCTTTTTTTTTTATTTTCGTTCTCTTTCTCTCTTATTTCTTTATTTTCTTTTCTTTCTTTCTCTTTTCTTTTTTTCTTTTAACCGATTGCTTATCGCAGCGCCTGCACCGCCGCGGTTGGGCGCGCCCACGCACGTTGTTGCGGCGCCATGCGGGGTCCCTGACGCAGGCGCCCGCACGCGCCCGCCGCGCCCATTTTGGCAGCCCCCCCACGCGATTCGTGGCCCCATCGGGGGTACGCCCGAAAGCGGGCATGCCAGCGCCCGCGCGCGCCCACCCCGCTCATTTTTGCGCGCCCATCGCGCGCTCCGAGGCCCAATCGGCGGCCGCCCGCGGCCACGTAGGGGGCCCGACCGACGGCCTACATGCCAGCGTTCGCACGCACCCAACGCGCCCAGTTTGGCGAACCCTTCACACGTTTGGCAGCCCAATAGGGAACCCCGACGACTGCGGTGGATACGACGACGGCGCCAACTATTCACCCATGGCCCCCTGGCCACCCCAGGAGGCGCGGGGCGAGATGAGGCGGCGGTGGATGACCCTCTTCCTTATGGGCGGGCGCGGGGGGGAGGGGAGGGGTTGGGGTGGGGTCGGGGGGAGGGGGGGGGGGGGGCGGTGGTCGGGCGGGGAGGGGTGGTTAAGAGGGGGAGGAGCGGCGGAAAAAACAAGGAAGGGGAGGGAGGGGGGGAGGGGAGGGAAGAGGTGAAGGGGGGGCGCGGGGGCAGGGGGGGGGATTCGAGAAGAAGGCTCCCTGTGGACACCCGTTGCGAGTCGGCGGGGTGGGGGCGGGCCGCGCGCCCAGATCCGAAAACCTGGCCATTTGGGGTGCGCAAGGGGGTGGGCAGAGTTGGGCCAGCGCCTTCGGTTGCCAGGGCCTGCGTTGGAGGTCCAGCACAGGCCTCGGCAATCGAAGGCGCGGTTTGCTGTTCAGCCCTCACGTATTACATTTTAACGTCGACGACGTCTGCTTGCGCACTAACGCGTGCTATGCTATGGTATGTCACGGCTTGCTCTTTGGTTTGGGGGGTTACGGCGGAGGCGGGGGAGGTTCATGCAATGGCCACTGTGCCGACCCGCCTGACCCGCGGACCCCGCCGCCGAGCCTAGCGGCTGCCGTGGAGCGGCACGGCGGCGGGGCCACCCTTCCCACCCCAGCGGGCCGCCACGGCCTGCGTGCTTTTTTGGGGGCCCTCTGGCGGTCCCGCTCGGGATCGGGTCGCGGGAAACGCGTGGTCGGGTCTTGTGGGGTTGCCACGGGCACCCTCGAAGGAGGGTGGCGGTTCGGGGGAGGAGGAGTGCGGAGGATATTGCGTGTTTGCTTTTCGGAGACCCCCTGTGTGTACACGTATACACATACATGTGCCTATGTATATATATATATATATATATAAAGGTATGTTTCCGCTCCCTGGGTATACAGCCAGGGAAAGGACCGCCCGTTCGCGAGCCGATCGCGGGCCAGCCAGGCGCCCGCCAGGCGCCCTCCTTCGGCCCCCCGCTTCGCGGCTCCATAGGGTGGCTCCACCGACGGCCGCAGCGGCTGCGCTCGCACCCGCTAACGCGCGCACATTCCTCACACGTTTCGCGCCCTAGGGGGCTCCATCTCGGGCCGCAGTGGCTGGCGTCTCTATTGCGGGGCGGCGGCTCTTCGTGTCCACACTTCACCAGGATGAGCGTATTCTCGTGGGGCAGTACCACCACCGCATGTTTTGCAGGTGCGGGTGCAGAGGGTCCCACACCCTCCAGCCTCTCCTAGACAAGATCGCGTTTGATTTCCAAGTGGCTGCTGCAGGGTACTGGCCTGCAGGAGACTCGACAGGGCTGCCTTGGCCAGAGGACTCCTGGCGAAGACTGTTGGCTGGAAGGCCATTGTTCCCATTTGTGCGCGGCAATTGCCGCTTTGTTCTCGTGGAGGTAGGCGCGGATCTGGACGAAATGCCGAAAACCTTCGGTTTACCAGACTACCGCAGCAAGTTTGGCTGTTTACGGTGCTTTCAGAGTCACGCAGAGTTTTCGGACCTTTCAGCGCCAGTGCGCAAACGAAAACATCAATGGTTGATCGACACTGCTGAAAGTACGCTTGCCTTGCGTGACGTGCAGGACAGCCAAGTCCAGACTTTGCGGGATAATTGCGTGATCAGGAGGAAACGTGGCGGTGTGATTCTCCAACGGCACATTCGTCATGAGTTTCCCGCCCTCCGGCGGGGGGACCGCATTGAGCCCGCCCTTCCTGGGCGGCCAGACTTCTAGCACGGCCAGAGGTGCAGCGATTTCCCGCCCGAACGTCGCCAGATGCTCGTGTACACGAGGCCCCCAAATAGCCTCCTCTTTATCAGTCGGTTGTTTACCGTGCGGGGCGTCCAGCCTGGCGTTCCAGGTTTGAGATTGGAGCATTTCTTGTTCGATTCGATGCATGTTGCTGACCTTGGTATTCTTGCCTACTTCATGGCAACGGTTTTGTGGTTGCTCGTTCGGCTTGGGTATTTCGGCAATTTCACGGATGCGGACCATGACGAGGTGGACGTTGCCATGAGCGATGCCTTGAAGCAGTACTATAAAGCCAAGGGGGTTCCAGATCGCGAGCGCCAGATCGGGCTGAAGGTGCAGATGCTCGGTGATGAGAACTCCCCATATCTCAAGCTCAAGGCTGGCAAAAGCAGGTCGCTGTTACCGTTTGTTGTGTTTACCCTCAGACAGAAAGGTGGCCGAGACTTACTTGACAGACATGACCCCGTCCAGCTTGACGGCACAAAGCTGTTGACTGTGGGCGAGGGCATGGTGGAGTATTACGCGATCATGAAGTCGCAGCCCCGCAACATGGAAGAGTTAGCGTTGCTACAGTTGCAAGCCGTGGTCGATCGGACCATGAACGCATGGATCGCCACTGGCCGCAGCTGCCAGATGAAGTGGCATGTTTTCGGCAAGCACATTGTCGACCAAGCCCGTTGGGCTGGCAACCCTGCGTGGTCCCACAATTATCGGGGCGAGTCTGAGAATTTCGACACTCGGAAGAGGGCAGCCTCCATCAATCGGACCAAGTTCGCTGTCAACAGCTTGGTCAAATGGTACCTGTCATACCTGCAGAAGCAGGCCGACAAGCATTGAAAAACATCAGCACCACGTGGGCGAAGGACCCACCTGTAGTTTTGGTTATACTTATGTTTGTGTATGTATCTATATATATATATAGGTATATGTGTGTATGTGCATAGATGAATGATGTAGGAAGTCCTATCCCACCCACCTCCCCGCGGCAACGGTGTTCCGCAGATAGCTGGCAGCGCACGGAAGCGCGCCACGGCGGTTGTCGCGGATTTGCTCCGAGGGGCGAGGGCCTGGGGGAGAGCCACGGCGACGCGCGGTTTCCCAAGGGGGGGTGGTTTTGCAGCCGGTGCCCCAGGGGGCGCGTGGTTTCCCAGGGGCTGTTTTCACAGGTTTCCCAGGGGCTGCAAAGGTTTCTGATGGGGGCGGGGGCAGCGTGGAGGATGATGAGGCGGACGGAGTGAGACGCGAGGGGGAACGACAGGCGTTCGAAACTCGTCTGCCCACGGCGGCGGTGCTGATGATGCTGCTGGCGATGCTGATGGCGATGGCGATGATGCTGACGACAGTGATGGTGATGGTGGCGAAGATGCTGCTGACGACGGCGGCGATGATGATGGCACTGGTGGTGGGGGGCGGTGGCGATAACGATGGTGATGTCGACAGGAACGATACGGATGATGATGATGACGATGCTGTTGCTGGTGTTGCTGGTGCCGACGCTGCTGCTGATCAGGGCGTTGTCGAGGATCGTGCTGCTGCTGACGATGCTGATGATGAGGGTGATGGTGGTGGCACTGGCGATTTTAACGGTGGTGGTGGTGGTCATGGTGATGGTGGCGATGCTGGTGGTGAGAGCGATGACGACGATGGTGGCGATACTGATGATGCTGCTGATGCGGATGACGATGCGGTTGACGATGGCGTTGGTGATGCTGATGGTGATGGTGCTGTCGCTGATTATGCTGATGATGCTGGTGATGACGAGGAGGCTTGAGAAAGAAGAGGAGGAGTGGAACGATGCGGGCGAGGAAAAGTGGAAGAAGGACAAGGAGAAGGAGTGGGAGGGGAAGGAAGGGGATACGGCGGCGGAGGGGGAGGGCGAGGAGAAGAACGCGAATGTTTGAGTTTTCTCCCCAGGCCCCCTCAGGGTCGCCCGCAGTGGCGGTGATGGTGGCGATGATGATGACGATGGTGCTGACGACGGTGGTGGTAATATTAACGATGATTGCGCTGGCGATGATGACGATGTTGATGGCAATGATAATGGTGATGATGCTCCCACGGATGTGATGGTGATGGCGACGGTGGTAGTGACTGCACCGATGTCGATGGTAACGATGCTGATGGTGACGACGACGTGCTGATGATGAGGACGGTGCCGAGGATGGTGACGCGGATGGCGGTACTAATGGTGGCGGTGATGATGGTGGTGCTGTCGGTATTTTGGATGGTGGTGGTGATGGTGATGGTGGTGATGAATGTGACTGTGACGATGATGTTGCTGATGGTGCTGAGGACGATGGCGACGACTGTGACGTGGTGGTGAGGCTGCTGATGATGACGATGATGAGTAGGGTGGTGATGCTGATGAGTATGGTGGTGACGATACCGTTGTTGGTGATGATGCCGATAAGTATGATCATGATGTTGATGATGGTAAGGGTAATGGTGATTGTGGTGCTGCAAATGATCATGATGCTGCTGATGATGATGGCGGCGGTGCCGATGGCGATGCTGATGGCCACGCTGGCGACGATGAGGCGGAGGAGGGTGAATGGCGAGGAGGATCGGGAGGAGGAGACGGAAGAGGAGGAGAAGGAACGGGGAGGAGGAGGAGGAGGAGGAAGAGGAGGAGGAGGAGCAGGGGGAGGAGGAGAATGATGAGAAGGACGCGGGTCGGCGTCCTTGACGTGTTGGCCCAATGGGGCCCGCCACCCGAGAGCGAGCCCCGTCGCACTCACGCAGCGCTGCGCCACCCCGACTTCCGATGCCTGGCACGAAGGCCCTGATTGACGAGATCGCGAGGCTCTTGCAGCAGCTGCGAGACGCAGATGCGGCGCGCACCCAGGCGGGATCGGGTGCAACAACAATGCTGGACTGCCCTTCTCTCCTGCCTTGGCGCGCGCCGCATGTGCCGTTACTCGTCCTTCGCCTGCCCCCCTTCGTCCGATCCGCATCCTGGCCCTCGCCAGTCGCGTCCTCTTCCTCCTCGTCCTCATCCCCCGCCCTCCTCACCGCAACCACCCGTAAGCCCGAGCGCTCTGCGCCATCCTCCATCTGCCCCGCCAGCGCACACACCCGAGGCACTGGAGAGCAAGGCTCAAGAGATTCGAGCGCTGCACATCGAGACTTACGAACTAGGCGAGGAGCTGGCCGCGATGCGCATCATACTCAACCAAGTAGCGCCCGACAGGCTGGTTCAGCACGACCGCGAGTTCAGCGTCCAGATGAGGTGAGAACGGTTGCGCGCCCACCAGTTTATCGGCATCGCTCGGACGTGAGATCGCTGATATGCGGCTGGTGGGACAGTTATATCAAACTGTAGTTTTTGGTACATGTGGTCCCCAGCCCGAACCCTCAATGTCGAGCGTCGAAGCGTCCTCGTCGCCGCTGCTGGACTCGCGAACAAAAAAACGAACTGCGCGGGGAGCGAACGGCTCGAGCGATGGCGAGTTCTCGAAGAGGCACCCTAGTTCCTTCTACTATCACACCACCACTCCCGATGTAAAGGGTGCCCCATGGGTTCCAGGAGTGGCCTAAATTGTTCCAGGGATTACAGGTGCTCCAGGGGTTCCAGGTATAGCATGAAACAAGCGCCCTAGGCGTTTCGCCTGGGTCTTCCTCCTGTGCGTTTCGCTTGGGTCATCGGTGCTCCCAGCGGTGGGGAGGGCACCGCCTCCCATTTTGTGCGCAAGCACGTCTGTGCGTAGCCCTCGTGTTGTCAAGCGTGCGCTGTGCTCGGCTGCCGTCGTGGATGGCATGCCCATGGGCGTGTCGCTCCTCATCGGTGGTGTCAGTTTTGTGATTTACACACCCCTTTCTTTGTCAACAGATCGATGACAAGTCTTCGCCATGCGATTCTCTGTTGCCAGATCGATGCCCGTTCTTTGTTACCACAACTAGTATTCCCCGATGCCTTTCGGCACAACCACTCCGCCCCTGCATGGGGTCTAGGTGTCGGGATCTCGGATGCTCGGGCTGTCTTGTGGCTCCAGGGGCTCGGGGCTTTGGTGCGCTCAGGGCCTCCCAGGGCCTAGGGGGCCAGTCCGAGGGTCGGGGGCTCCAGGTGTTCTCGGGGTTCCAGAGGCTCCAAGTGTTCCAGGGGCCCCAGGGTCTCTGGGGCGCTCATGGCCTCCCAGGGCCTAGGGGTTCAGTCTAGGGGTCTGGGGCTCCAGGGGTTCCAATGGTTCCAGGGGCGTCAAGTGTCTCAGGGGCGCCAGGTGCTCCAATGCTTCGGGGCGATCAGGGCCTTCCATGGCCATATGTGCTGGTCAAGTCGGGCGCATCATGGGTTCAGGAGTTCCAGTGGCCACATACCAGAGGTTCACGTGTCCCCAGGGGCAACAGGTGTATCATGAAAAGCGTTTTGAGAGGTCGCTTGGGACTTCATCCTGCGCGCTTCGCTTGTGGCGTACATATATATACACACACGTGCATCCGTGGTCTCAACTACCAAAAGGAAGCCCAATCCTTTACGGGCACTGCGCCTCGTTTTTTTTGTATTTTTTTTTTTTTTTAAAAAAAAAAAAAAAAAAAAAAAAAAAAAAAAAAAAAAAAAAAAAAAAAAAAAAAAAAAAAAAAAAAAAAAAAAAAAAAAAAAGCGGGAGGCGCTGATCGCGCACCGCTCCAGCTTGGTATGTGCTGCCGCGCGTGCACGAGCATGTTGTCGTCGGATGTCGGCTGTTGGTCATCACATGCATCTGCGTCTGGCCAGTGCCCGTTGATTTACACATCCCATTCTTTGTCAACAGATCGATGACAAGGCTTCGCCATGCGATTTTCTATTAAATGCCCGTTCTTTGTTACCACACCTAATATTCTCCGATGCCTTTCGGCACAACCACTCCGCTCCTGCATGGGGTCTAGGTGTCGGGATCTCGGACGCTCGGGCTGTCTTGTGGCTCCAGGGGCTCGGGGCTCTGGTGCGCTCAGGGCCCCCCAGGGCCTAGGGGGCCAGTCTGAGGGTCGGGGTCCAGGTGCTCTCGGGGTTCGAGAGGCTCCAAGTGTTCCAGGGGCTCCAGGGTCTCTGGGGTGCCCAGGGCCCCCCAGGGCCTAGGGGTTCAGTCTAGGGGTCTGGGGCTCCAGGGGGTTCCAATGGTTCCAGAGGCTCCAAGTGTTCCAAGGGCTCCAGGGTCTCTGGGGCGACCAGGGCCTCCCAGGGCCTAAGGGTTGATAGGGGTCTGGGGCGCCAGGGGGTCCAAGGGTTCCAGAGGCTCCAAGTGTTCGGTGATCCACGTGCTCTAGCATCTTGGGGCGCGCAGGGCCTCCCAAGGCCTGGATGATGGGATCGATGGTGATGTAACGAGGTTGTGATGCTGATGACGCTGATGACGCTCGATGACGGTGGCGATGATGATGCTAATGATGGTGATGATGATGCCGGTGATAGCACGATGGTGGTTATGATGATGCTGCTGGTGATGGTGATGCGGACGAATGATGATGGCGATGAGGCTCGTGTGATGCTTTTGCTGCTGGTAATGATGGCGACATGATGACGACGACGACGATGCTGATGATGATGATGACGAACATGATCATGATGATGATCGCGGCGATTGCGTTGGCGATAGCGACGGCGATAATAATGACAAACAGATGTGTCTTATCATGTCTTCGGATGTGTGTGGAACTCTCTGAAACTAGCCAAAACCCAGTACAAACAGTGAAAACCTTAAGTAACTCATCGAACAGGAATGGGGCATGACAGCAAAAGAGCTCGAACTTTGTCGCGGAAGGTGCGGAGGGTGCAGCCGCAGGGATATTCTGGCATCCGAGGCGACCGAAGTATTACCACCAACACCGAAATTTAGGATCATCTCCCCCCCGTGGAGGCAGTCCCCTGTTTTGGTGTTGGTGCCCATTTCCAGGCCTCCCACAGTGGCGAAGCGCCCCGGCTTGCCTGTAGGCCACCGCAGAATGTTCCCAGAGCCTTCTGTATTGCACGAGTCTGTATTCGAACATTTCTGGTTGATACCGTCTTCGTTTCATACGTCGGCTTCATGCTCTAAGAACATTATTTCTGTGATTGGAATATGTTCTAAGAACATGTCGTGGTAGGGTTAGAGGAATGCCAGGACGGTCGGTCCCTGTTCGAAATGCACGTGCTCCTAAGCGCCGATCGTCCATGCCTTCGGCGAGGCTCCCCAGCGAAGACGGCAGAAAATTACGATTATGCCATAATGGGGCAGCGCCGCCGAACTATCTGGTCGTTGGTACACTCAAGCGGTCATTGTGAAGCCCGAGCTCCCATCGCCTGGAGGGGCTCACGATGGTGTCGGCAGGTGGCAGCCAGTCTGCCCAGTCGCGGCTTGGACCAGCCCCTCACCTTGCGCCAAAACGGCTACGGACTCATTCACTTGGTTGCCCGAGATGCATCGGTGGTGTACCGCCGATCTTGGAGGGCAAAGCCTACCCGCTTCTAGAAGACCAACATCTGGGGCAGATGCCAAATACCGCTCTCACCTCCTATCCCAAAGCGTCTATGGACATATTGGGTGCTGTGACGTCCATAGGCACTTTCGGGGTGGATAGGTCTATGGACCACGTGGCCGTTGCGTTCGGCGCGGTGCAAGGTCGGAGAAAGAGTCGATCCGTCTACGGTATGTTCTTGTTCCAGAGCAGGTCCCACATGGTACGCCAACGCCGATCCCCTCGCGTTGGCATCGCTCGGGCGTGTGCATATGTTCTTTCGGCGAGGACCATCGTGGAGCATCTTGGACCACCTGAGGCGTCCCAAACGCGGCCGTGCCTTCGAGGATCGAAGGAGTTGCCACCTCTTCCTCGGCGGGCGGGCGGCGGGAGGGCGGCGGAAGGCAGAGCGATTACAACGAGGGCGCGCCTCCGCCGACGAATGCCAGCGGCGGAGGCACCCTCGCAGAGATGAGCCTCCTCCTCCTCCTTTTCCTTATCCTTCTCCTCCTCCTCCTCCTCCTCCTTTTCCTCCTCCTCCTCCTCCTCCTCCTCCTCCTCCTCCTCCTCCTCCTCTCCTCCTCCTCCTCATCCTCTCCTCCTCCTCCTCCTCCTCCTCCTCCTCCTCCTCCTCCTCCTCCCCCTCCTCCTCCCCCATCAGGGTGTCGGGAATCCGCCAGCTGGCGAAAGGAGAGCCCACGAAACCGAAAACGCGCACGGGGCGACGGCGAGTCGCGCGCGCCTTCGGCTGCGGCAGCGTGGGGCGCGCCGTGGCCGCCGCGAGCTCGGGGGCCGCGGCGGCGGCGGCTGCGCGGCCCCGGCGCCCAAGGAGCGTGCCTGCCGCGCAGCGGTCCCTGGCGAGGAGGACGGCGACGGCGGCGGCGGCGGCGGCGACGGCGACTGCGACGGCGACGACGGCGACAACGACGACGACGACGACGATGACGGCGGCGGCGGCGGCGGCGACGGCATCGAGCCTGCGGGCTGCGGTGCGCTCCAAGCGCCTCGCTGCCCCCCCACCCACCCCGCCAGGCCGCCGCCGCGCGGCGCGGCGCACAAGCCCCGCCGGGCGAGGAGAGGATGCGGGGCTCGCCATGAGAAAAAAAAACGGTGCCGCAGGGCCGTCGCCGCTGCCGCCGCCGCCGTCGTCGTCGTTGTCGTTGTCGTCGTCGTCGTTGGCGGCGGCGGCGGCAGCGGTGGCGGTGGCGGCAGCGGTGGCGCCAATGAATGCCGCTGCCTTCGCCACGCATTGAAGAACAAACAATTGTTTGAGGGAGTTTCTGTGGAACTCGTCCGGAAGAGGCGCCGCCGAGCTTGGCACCCTCCGAGCCGTCGCCGCCGACGGGGCCCCGCCGCCGACAGGCCGAGGGGCACCCAGTGCCGACGACCGCCTCCTGGGCTCTGACCTGCACCATCAAGCACCATCACCATCATACCAGTACGAATAACAGTAATACTAAGAACACTGATACTGATAACGGTAATGATGGTATCCATACAAATAGAAATAATAGCAGTATCCGAAAGGGCAACCGTATTGATACTCGCAATGGTAGTAGCGATACTAATACTATGCATACGAAGGATCGTATTACTCATGGGATTACCAGTACTATCACGACCGACTATTCTTACTACTACTACTACTACTAGTACTACCACTACTACTACTACTACTACTACTACTACTACTACTACTACTACTACTACTACTACTACTACTACTATAATTACGACGACGACGACGACGACGACGACGACGACGACGACTACTACTACTACTACTACTACTACTACTGCTACCACTACTACTACTACTAC